ATCTCCAAGGCCAATATTTGCTAGAATTGATTGTTGGTTTTTCGGTCAGTCCAACTGATTGGTTCAGAGGATGAAGCAGCTAATTTATTTATTTTTTCATCTTGCACCACGGTGAAGCTGACATTTGTGGTTCTGAATTAAATATCTCAACAACTTTTTCCAGGAAATCTGTAACTCTTTCACGTCCACCCACGATAAATATTGATCAAACTTAACTCGAATTTTCGCACACAGATAAAATCAGGTCGTAGCTTACTCTACCAATAGTTCAGTTTGCATTTAGTTTACACAAGTAATGCCATTCTCAACTGATAGTCGTGTCATGTTACTCAGGAAACGCTGAGTAAGGTGCTAATCATGGTAAACGGATGTCTCAACATTGCTGCAATTGTGAGCATGCTGATGTTAGCATTCAGCTTTTGATGCACTACTGTGACAAAGGGCAGACTAATGGAGACTCAGAGTTGTTTTCACAATACGTTTTCAGTGACCCTTGCATCAGTTTCAAATACAATATGCTTTAGGTTGCTGATCACAGCAGTTTTTAAAGCTGTGATTTCCACTGATGGTGAACATCCTGGGTAGCTTGGCTTTGTTCCAATTACGACATCTTCTCAGCTTTTTTAATGCATTCTCTGTTTTCTCTTATAGTATCCTTTCCTCTTGGGCTTCTGTGTGGCTCTCAGCTGGAGTGTCCTGGTCTGTGTAAGCCGAGTCTACATGGGGATGCACTCCGTTCTGGTAAGCAACTGCAGTTTTTAACCTGAAATTAAATGTTCTCAGTGGTGATCCTCATTCAGCATCTTTTACTTCCATTATGGCCTGCAGGCATTTGCCTTCTTATACTATAGTCTTAGTGTAGCCTCAATATGAAACTTTGGTAAGGCAAAATGCATTTCTGAGAACTTCCACTGTCACGATACCTGCTGCGAGTGGCGTGCATATCTCAGATATCACTTGCATGCATACTTAAAATTACTTTCGGTCCAACTGTTGCAGTGAGAGGAGCTGTCAGATGACTTTTAGTTGAAAACAAAACATTATTTTTCCAATTGTTAGTATCAAATTCAGTTTTTTCTGATTACTTAATACATTTCCTGTTGTGTGTAGCAGTTAGAGGAAGTAAGTGCTTTTTTTTTTCTTTTTTCTTTTTTTCTTTTTAATCTGCGTACCATACTGCTGGGTTTTGGAAACCTCTGATAAAAAACATCTCTTGGCCTTTGGTTAATGGTCTTTCAGGCTGGCTTTTTAGGGAAAAGGTAAAATTTATTGTAATTAGGGAAACCTTGGGAATTTGGAAAAAGAAATAATCCTGAGAAGGGTTTAGTAATAATTGTTATTACTTTTTCCTGGATTTATTTAAATATAATTTGAAGATGCAGTATTTTAGCATTTCTGCATTGTCACTAAAACACAATGCTAAGCTCATTAACAGATTTATAACATAAGTATGAAGTTGACATTTATAATTCATGGAACATGATGTTAACAGAGCCAATAAACAAATTAAAGCGCTGAGATTAGATTAGATACTGTGACCTGCAAACCTGTGACCTGGTAGCAGCTCTATGGAGATACTGCTTCTTCCAATGGTAACACCTGCTCATCTGTCAGCACCTCACCTGATCCTAACTGGACTTTTTTATGACTGTGGAGTAATCTGCAACTTAAAGGACATGTTTCATGGAGGAAAGTGTAATTGTAGCACCTCCTACAGGACAGGTAGCAGCAAAGCATTTTTTTTATTTGGTTGTTTATTAGATGTGTGTACTACTGTTACTTTAAAAAAAAAAAAGTTAAATTGTTATTAAACATATATCATCAGCCCTAAATATGCTTTGTCAGCACTCTGTCTTTCCTTAAATGCTGCTTTACAATGATTTATGTCCCTGTGTTTCAGGAGGTAATCACTGGCTTCCTGTACACCCTCCTTATTCTCGCCTTCTTCCAACCAATTCTGGGGAAGATTGACAACTACTACATGATGGGCAGCTACGCTCCACTTATGATTGTCATATCACATGTGGGCTTCGGACTTGTGGCTTTCTCTCTGGATTCGTGGAGCACCTCTCGGGGCGATACAGCTCAAGCTCTGGGCACTGGGGCAGGAGCTGCTTTAGCTTCCCACGTGAACTATCAGCTGGGCCTCCAGCTGGATCCTCCACTGTCATCGCTTCCTCTAACATTGCCATCACTCAGCGTTAGCTTGGTGTTGCGCTCCATGCTACGCTTCTTCATCGGAGTCGCCGTACTCCTCGTCACGAGGATGATTATGAAAGCAGTGACTATTCCTTTCTTATGCCGACTATTTGGGCTGCCCATGGACGATGTAAGACGGGCGAGACAGCAAATGAAAGTGGAGCTGCCGTATCGTTACATCGTCTACAGTGTTGTGGGTTTTAGTTGTGCGTGCTTTGTGCCTCTCCTCTTTAAGATCTTAGGTCTTGCCTAACTGTTGTGTGCAAACTGCCATGTCCTGTTGATATGGTGAACATGCTGCTTGTTTTGACACAAGGGAAGGCTCTGTTTCTGCATGATTAAGGGCGTTTTAAAGGATAAGTCCTATGGTATTATGTGTTTCCATTATCGTTAAATCCCATCAAAAGACTAGAATCAGTAATGAATCGATTGACAGTGCGGTGTGTATCCAGCCAGAGGGGTGTACTACAAAGTCATATTAATGGTTTAAAGTGCTGTGTCGAGCAGCTGAAAGTTTCAGAGGGCTCACTCAGCACTAAAATAATTAACTTGAATTAAAATGTTTATTTTATGGCTCTGGGATAAATCCCAAGATTAATCATTTTCTGCAGCATTAATCTGTTGTCATTTATGTTATCTTCATGCATCACCAATTTATCATCTGATAACATCTCTGATCGACTAGGCAACAGACATAGGGAACCTTTTGTGCAGAAGAAGAAGAGTCACGTGACCTGTGAAATGCCCTCTTTGTTAGCACTCAGAAAACCTCGCCTAACAGAGAACGATAAGAACCACTGTTGTCATATCTGTTATCTCCAATTGTGGTTTTAGGTTTTGTTGAGCCAGCAGAGGCAAAGAAAGCCTGGCTATGGGGAAATTTGTTTGTACTACACCCCTCAGGTGTGACGTTTCATTACCATGAGAACAACAGCTCACGTATGCAGTCATGCTGATACAGACAAAACCACAAGTATTAATTATTTATGAATAATTACTTGCTAAAAACTGCAAAACCCACTGGCTTAAGTTTATGAGCTGACAGCCATGCTCTGGAGGAGTTTAAAAATAATGTGTCTTTTGGTTTTGATCTTTTTGGGGGATTTGTTGAATTATTAAATGGATGGGATATCACCTGCCTTATCCTTTAAGATCCACCTGTGGTCAACACATTTAAGTGTTAACTGGAGCTACTTAAATATAAAGTACTGTAATGATGCTCATATTCATCATTGTGGAATCTATTGTTCAAATATAACTTTTTTTGTTTTTGGAGAGTTTGACTCTTTGAAATTAAACCAAAATATGAATCTGTAAATCAAAGCGATGAAAAATACTGTAAGTATTTAAGCTTCCAGGCGTCAGGACATTTAATGATCTGTATGTAAATACGGAGGACTCTTTACCTTTTAGTGGGTCGTATATGTCATCACTATTTTTCTACATTTCCATATTCAGCGTTGTCCTGTGTAACTTTGGCCCAAATTTAGATTAAGTCGATTGATAGTAGAGAATTAATGAAAAACAATATTTTTGATAAATTATTTTATCATTGTATTTGATGAATGGTTGTATTGGGAAACAAAGGAATATATTATTCATACTTTATTGCTCTGAATGCCAGAGACGTTTCAGTTCTCCTTACTCTTGCAGTCTGCAAAACCTTAGACCCTAAAAGTTGTCTGATTGTTGTAACTGTTTGTAATTTCTTGTGTTGTTTTAATAATCAGTCCAAATATCAATGCCCGACTTATATCAGAACATGTAGGGCTATTTATAGATCTGCTATTTCCATCAGTTCTCCCTTTTTTTTTTTTTTCTCTTGTTGTCTGATACCTGTGTGCATTTAAAACATTTGGAGACAATAAAAAAATAAAATATTTTAAAAAGAAAAAAAGAGTATTTTATTTTGTTGTATTATAAATAAATTCAGGTGAAGCCACTCACACCATAGATGGGAGACCTGTCCACAATGTACCCCATCTCTCACCCAGTGATGGCTAAAACATGGATCTGGATAAACGGTTAAGAAAATTGATGGAAACCATTTAGTACATCTGGGATTTTTATGCTAGTGTGTTGTGTTTTTTAATATTGTAAATATTGTGGCCAAATGGACAAAAAAGAAGACATATGCACTTAGAGACTGTAAAATCTTAGATTTCTGTTGAAATTACTTTGAAGGCTCTCAAGACATCTCTCAGGAAAAATAATAAATAAATAAAAGAATTTCACCAAACGTGACTCTTGAACTTGTCATTCCACAATGGAAGCAATTTGTTTTTGTGCCATATTACAGTTATTTCATAATTAAATATTATTCCAGAAACATTAGAATTTTTAAGTTGCTTCTATGTTTATATAGTTAAATTATTTTAAAGACTGACTTGCAGCTACATCTTTTTATTCTTTATTTTTCTTTCTTTTTTTTTCTTTTTTTAAAAATTTTTCCATTCACCTGAGATGGTAGTGGAAAAGCATTTATATATGATTGTACATTATCTTTTAATTGTACATTACCTCTTTTTCAGCAAAAAGTGAATCTAAAAAAACCTAAAGCAGGATGGAGTGTGATTAGGCTTTATTCCCACCTAGGTGTCCCTGTGAAGTATTTTTTGCTTTTTTCCAGGAATAAATGTTTTGAACATCTCAAATTGGCGCTTGATACTTTTTAAAATAAAAAATAAATAGACTAATTATATAGTGCACGTGCACTCGTGTAGAATCGCTTTCAAATTTTTAAAAATTCCGCCTAAAAGCTATTTGAGCTTTTATTTTGAAAACTGCTGGTCACCTGATAACCCGGAAGTCCGTAGTTTGACAGTTACCGTCCAAAACATTTTTTTCCTCTACTCCTGTGGTTCACAGTGGAGCAGCAGGATAGCAGGATTTATTACATTAAGGTTATATGACGTGTTGGCTAACTAATGTAGCCGTGACAGCAGTAAGTGAAGTAGTTATTTTAGAGATTTTTCGTTGAATTTTGTTTCCAACTTTCTTCGCTAACAGTTAAAAGTTTTCCTGCTGCTAATCTTAGTTTACCTTGACCTGCCGGCTGGATCGGCTTTTATGACACACGAACAACTTATGTGAAGTTTTGTGTACATAAGCAAGTCATCTGCCGCCCGCGCACATGCCTCGTTTGGAAAAGACAAATCTCCGAGGCAGGGACAGGTAGGAACCTTTTCTGCACTCACTCTTTGGGTTTTAAGGTGGTGCTGGGGAATGAGGAGTGAAGGTCATTCAAAATATCTTGTAATTTCCACTCTTTCTCTGTCTGTTCACACAAATCAGGCCACAGTTAGACTGGAGGTTTGTGCAGAGGTTCTGCAGCATCCAGAAGGTCTTGTTCCCATCATGGACCAGTCAGAGTGTCCTGATGTTTGGGACGCTGCTGGGCGTTACTCTGGCAGGTAACAGCTGGAGGAGTGTAATAGAACAAAAAGAGGAGGAAACTGTAAACTTAGACTGTGGTCTAACTTTGAGGAACTTCTGATAGCATCAGAAAGCTTGCATTGACTGCAGTCAAATGAGCCCTGACCACAGGAGGCTTTGTCTCTTTCTTGATGACCTTTAGCTAATCATTTTGCTCTTTTATGAGTCACTGTTTGAACTGACTCCTTCCTCATGATACAATGTGCTAACACGTGTTTTTCTGTCATCAGAGCAGCTGATCATTTACCAGGTGGGAGTCCTCCCCAGCCACTTCTACAATGTGCTGGCAGACAAAAATTACTCAGGCTTCAGGAGTCTGGTGGGCACTGCCATGGTGCTCATTTTATTCAACTCCACAGTAAGTTAAAGTAGCAGAGGAACGACAGAAGTCAACATACTAACACAGTAGCATTTATCCTGCAAAGCAAATAAGATTAACACCCTACAGACACGCTGTCTCACGCGTGTCCAGTATTTCTGTTTATGCTTTCTTGGGCGAGTCGCCCCTGAAAAAATTTTATTTTTAATTTTATTGAGACACATACCTGGTCAAATTACAGCTATAGTAGAAACCCATCTCATATTGATTGGTATAGGTGTAGTCATTTAAATCATTTGTATGATAATTTAATTGCTGTTCATACATTTGGAAATAATGTTAATTTTCTGCATCTTTCTTTTACTACTGTATATTTTACTAATATGTGTATTTATGGTAGTTTTGTATTTATAGTGTATTGTGATTTTAGCTTGACAAAGGCTGGAAATTAACAATAGGTGTAAACTCTGTGTGCAGCATATCAGTTTCACGCACTGTATCAGAAGTATGTCAAACTGCATTTTCCCTTTTAAACGCTTAAATGAAATACGTAGATTTAAGGATTTAAGGAAACAGAAATAGCTGCTTTTAGCTGCTCCCCTATTCGCAAGGGGTCACCGCAGTGGTAGCTCTGTGTTTGATTTGGCGCCGTTTTTATGCCGGATGCACTTCCTGAAGCAACCCAAAGGGATTTGTTTCTCCTCTTGGGATCGTATTAATTAACGCGAGTCGTGCAGGTTTGGTTTGTGAAATATACAGTTTTTATAAGATTAACACTAAGTCTCTGCAACTGCATATGCTTTATTTATCAGAACCTGTTTAGTAGTGTACATTATCTGTTACATTCAGATGCGCATTTCAAATACCTAAGTCAAAAGTTTGATAAATAGTTTCTTATGTTTTACTGCATGGCATCACACCTTTGGATTGATGCTGTAACAGTAGCAACTTTATAAGGTCAGGACAACCTGACACGACCATTTTATAGCCGCATGCATTTGGTCTTGATTGTGTTTGCTTGGATTTTGAACCTAAGAAACTAACTTTAGTCAGCTTATTTAAGCATGTTGCTTTTTAAAGGAACTTCTGTGGCAGGTCTTTCCTGATCTATAACATCTTTATTTAAGTTATTGTCACTTATTGTTACTTTTTCTCTCTCCCCTTCTTTGTTGTTCCCCTCCCATGCAGTTGAAAAGTATTGACCAGTACATTTGCAATCAGATGTATGTCAGCTGGAGGAAGACGCTAACAGAGAGCCTCCATTCGGCCTACTTCCAGGGAAGAGTCTACTACACGCTCAACGTGCTCAGAGAGGACATAGACAATCCGTAAGCATGAATGCATTTCCTGGTTGGTGTATTGTTATGCATGAAAATGTTTTGCTGTCATTGTCTAATTGCGTTGTTGTGGGCAGAGACCAGCGGATCAGTCAGGATGCAGAGAGGTTGTGCAAGCAGATGAGCAGCATGGCGAGTCGCCTGATCATCTCACCATTCACCCTGACTTACTACACCTACCACTGCTTTCACAGGTGAGCACGTTGTGCTGTATGATCAACCCCATCACACACTGTGGTAGAGATCATTCAGCTATGTCGGGGTGCCACAGTTTTACAGCCACGTTTCTGAATATCTGTCCTTTAGAGAGGCCCAGAGTACATAAAACAAGGGATGGAATTAGAAAGTTAGAAGAATAAATACCTGTTATATGTAATTTAAAGCATTACATGTGCTCTACAAAAGGTCTGCTGCAACTTTGACCTTATTAAAATTCAGGCTAAATTGGGGCTTCTTGTTAACCCCTAAGCTCTGTTTGACATTTCCAGCTGGAAAAAAAGAACAACCTTAAATTTAGTAACAGGCTGCAAAACAGTGAGGGCAAAAGAACAACCTCTACTATGGATGGGAAGCATATTCTGACATACAATAAACCTTCTTGTCCTTATCATCAGACTGCAGTAAGATTTGGAAAAAATGACTCTGTTTGCTTCCACTTTATCAAAAACTGTCAGTTAGAGAGAAGATAACAGCCTTGTAAAAATAACAGACCCCTTTAACCCTTTCTAAAAAATCCTGGGCTCAACAAATTCTACATCAGCCGTAGTTGTAGTAATACCAGGTGGTCTTTGTTGTATTCGTGCCATAGGTGGTGACCTTTGAAAATGGCGCTGGTTGCATTTATATAACATGTACAGCCTGGACTCGATATGCTGGCCTCCAGAGAGGAAAAAGGTTAAATGTGAGCTGTAAAAGCAGCAAAATGACTCTTTGAATATCACTGCGTGCACTTTAAGTGTTGTGTTGTTGATGTATTTTGATGTAACGGGCTCCTAAAGTTGTTTTGCTTTGCAGCACTGGCTGGATTGGTCCTGTGAGTATCTTTGGTTACTTTGTAATCGGGACTATTGCCAATAAAATCCTCATGGGGCCGATTGTGTCAACTCTCTTTGAGCAAGAGAAACTGGAGGGAGACTTCAGGTAGGTTCAGCCTTTATAAGTTTGTAAATTTGTGCTAACAGCAGATTGATTTAACCTCTAACAGAGTCTTTGGGTATTCTGCCAGCTTTGTTTGAAACAAATCCTTCCTGTATTTGTTGTCAAAGACACTTGGGTTCTGTTAAAAGGAAATATCTGTAGGCTTTGGCGCAATGCCTTCTGTGTAACACAGGATATGCATCAGTTTGTTTTTTTTAAAAGAAGAATCTATCACAAGCTGAAACAGCCTCCCTTTGTGTTCAGAGAGGAACAGATCAACTGGTTTCTGTTAAAGTGGATCTTTTATGGTTTTCTTTATTTCCTGTCATGTGTATACTGTCACAACAGCATGCAATGATTATATTAATCATGGAGAAATCCTCAAATAATGAGTTCAGGGTACACATGATCTCTGTGAGCCACCAGCTCAGGTTTCACACTGCTCTAAACAGTCAGATTCAGATCTTTATGAAATCAGTGAGAGTAGACAACAGAAGCCTCCTGAGGGGTATACTATGAAGTGAGATTGGTGGATTATTGAGGGAAACTGATCTGTGTGCTTTTCTATTGTAAAAGTGATGCTATTTGTTATATTTTCATATTCTTTATAGCTCTGTATCATCTGCTCCTCCACCTCTGATTGGAGTAGGTTGTGCTCTGTAGGTCTATTTTGTGCAGAAGGAAGCATTACATGACATGTGAAACGTGCGGCTGTTCCTACAGTGGATGAACTGAGAGGCTGTTCATTCACATTGCTTTGAACTGTGAATCATGCAAATATACTGTTGTGGGTAGTCTAGTAAGGATCTGGAAATGAGCGAGATGGATCTCTTTTAAATTGCAATTGATGCACATTTTTATCACACATGTTTTTTTCATGTCTAGATTCAAGCACATGCAAATCCGTGTCAATGCAGAGTCTGCAGCTTTTTACAGGTGAGACACAACCACAACATTACTGGTGCTGCAAAGGTGGCTGTTATTGTTGCCAGACAGTTTGAGTTTATCTTCCTGTATTGATAAGATGTATTGATGGAGCTTATTCAGAAATCGAATGAAACCAGAGAACGAAATGGAAAAAAAAAAAAATCCGCCTGTCTCTACTTGCAGAGCTGGTAAAGTGGAGCACATGAGGACGGACCGCAGACTGCAGGCTCTGTTGTATACTCAAAAGAGGCTCATAAACAAAGAGCTCTGGCTTTATAGTAAGAAAGTTCTATACCTTACTGTTATCATGCTTATATAACACTACTTTGTACACTCAACCTCTAAGCCTGTAATGTCTCCTTTCACAGTTGGAGTGAACACATTTGACTACCTTGGAGGATTCCTGAGCTACATTATAATCGCCATTCCCATTTTTAGTGGTGTTTACGATAGCCTCACTCCTGGTGAACTTAGTGCTCTCATCAGCAAGGTAGACATGTTTTATGTCTTTTCTTATTTAAATATCTCTTTTTATTTATGTCAAAATAGAACTTAAAACAGAGCTATATAAACGATTAAAAAAAGGAACTGTGTACATCCTGGTTAGGCAGCAGTTTGAGCCATTTGTATTATGTTGCATGATAACCTAATACCTCAATAAATGTAAAAGTACCAGCCACCTTATTAGGTACACCTTTCTGGTACTAGGTTAGACACCCTTTTTTCTTCAGTGCTGCCTTCGTTTTTTCAACAAGTTTCAGCAAGATTCAACAAGGTGTTGGAAAATTCCTCACAGATCTTTGTCCATATTAAAATGATAACATCACACAGTCGCTGCAGGTTTGTCAACTTCACATCTATGATATGGATTTCCTGTTTCACCAAATACCAAAGGTGCTCTATTGGGTTGTGATCTGGTGAATGCAGAGGCCATTTGAGTACAAGATTTCATGTTCAAGAAACCAGATTGAGATGATTTGTTCTTTGTGACGTGGTGAATTATCTCGCTGGAACAAGTTTCATTGGAAACTGTGATCATATAGGTATGGAGATGGTATGCAAGCTGTGATGCTTAAATGATGCTTAGTTGGTACTAAGGGACTCAAAGAGGAAGGACCCTCCTCTGACCTCTGACATTTAAATGCATTTTCACCCAGAGAGCTGCTGCTCATGGGATATTTTCTCTCTGTTTTTTTTATTTTTTTTAATCATTCTCTGTAAAGCCTAGAGATGTTTGTCTGAGGATAATCTCAGCAGAGGCAACAGTTTGTAAAATCCTCACACAAACCAGTCTGGTACCTAGAACCATCCCATGTTCAAATCCACCTTCTTCCTCATTCTGATGCTTAGCTAAAACTTCAGCAAGATGTTTTGACCATGTCTGCACGTCTAAAAGCATTGCCATGTGATTGGCTATTTCAAGAGTTGCAATAATAAGCTGCTGAACAAGTGTACCTAATGAAGTGGCTACTTCAATATGTGGGAGCCAGATAGTTCTGAGTATCTGTGCATATTTTTAACCTGATGATATCAATACTAAATTAGAAGATAAAATCCAAAACTGCTGTCTTGCATGAGTGCACACTGTCCTAATGCTTTCATTACAGTGGGGCTGAAAGAGGAAATCCATCATGTTTGTTAGTAGAGTAGTTTACCCACTAGGTGGCACCAAAATCCTTTTTATCCCCTCAAAAAACGTAAACGCCATCTCTTGCGCTGCACACAGATTTGACTTCTGAATGTTTTGTTGGGCATGCAGACCTTTTGAAAAAACAAACAAACCTTGTCTCTTATTGACTCTCTGCTTCTTATTCCCTCTCCTTGTTCACATTCAGAACGCCTTTGTGTGCATCTACTTGATAAATGGTTTCACGCAGTTAATAGACCTGTCAACTACTCTGTCAGATGTGGCTGGATACACCCACAGGTATCAGGCTGCATACTTAAATTCACCTCTTTGTGGACAAATGATGACAGCAGGATTTGTGTATACCGTCCACCTTTGCATAACCGTGTGTGTGTGTTCGTGTGTTGCGGTCAGGATCGGGGAGCTGAGGGAGGTGATGGATGACATCCTACGCAAGCAGTGCGACTACGACCCAGCATCAGGAGAAAGCTACGACTTTGACAGGTTTGTGTGGGCACATTATTCTCTGCTGCGTTAAAAAAAGAAGCACAGTGTGATGATTTAAGAAGCAGGCTGCATGTGAGGAGAATTTATTAGATTACATTAAACATACAGAAATGGAAACGGGAAAAGATGGTAAAAATTCATGTTTATACCAAAACCTCTGAGCCTCAACTACATCACACATCACCACCTCTCCACACAGTGACTTCAACATCCACGCAGGCCCAGTGGACACGGCCTTCATCGTGGACCATCTTTCATACAAATCCCCTTTCTCCGACGAGCTGCTGGTGGAGGACCTGAATCTGAAAATCAGCCAGGGAACTCATCTGTTGGTGGTGGGGAACACGGGCACCGGCAAGACTTCACTGCTGCGGGTCCTCAACCGTCTCTGGGAAGCACACAGCGGTGAGAGCAGAAGAACTGAGACTGTTTTGCCTAATTTGATCTTTTTTTATTATTGTATTAACTCTTTAGCAAATCGGGAGAAGCGAAGACGGCACAAAAAAGGGCAATAATAACAATGCATAACATGGGGGGGGGGACTAAGAATGACGGGAAAAATACATAAATAACAAAGAAACTGAGTCTGAGTTATTTAAAGAGATTTGTATATGGCAAGTATGAACATGAAAAACAGATCATAGTTTTACACGGATGTTGTCATGTATTGTTGACAACTCATCAGTACTGCACTTCACTGACTTGAGGAACAATAGCAACAACAAAGGTTCCATTACGTTAAATTTTATGTTTTTAAAAAGCCACGATATGGGGGTAAATAAATTTACTAGCTTGTTTTTGTTTATTTATTTATTTTGATTGGGAGAGATATGAGAAGGCAGTGTAAAGCCATCAAATAGAAACTGTAAAGCACAAATACATTCATTCAGCTGTCTGTCCTTCATTTTCCCTCAGGCTTTGTCCAGATGACCACGTGCTTTGGGCCCAGAGGAACGCTCTTCCTGCCACAGAAACCCTACCTGACCGATGGCACTCTGCGTGAGCAGGTCTCTTCTTATTGTGCTGTTTTTCTACAAATTTCTTCTTTTATATAAAGCGCTGATATGTTTATATCTAAAAAAGAAAAACTTTAATTACTGAATTTACTGAAACACTTGTTTCCAACAGGTGATCTACCCACTGAAGGATATTTACCCTGCATCAGGTATTGTATTAAATGTGATCAACAGCTAATTAGCCAGAGGAAAACTACTCTATTAGTTAATCTGTGTGTGTGGTGTATTTTGTTGGGACAGAGACAAGCTCATCACTGTGTTACATCTGCCTTTCTTTTAAAACAACACCTTTAAGTGTGTCAAAACTGGGGAGAACGGTTGCTGCAGTTTTGAATGTGGCAGGACTCATTGTCCCTGTGCCACTTAGTGTCTCAGCTGCTCAGCGGTTTGGGCCTTTCCTTTGTTGTAATCTTTGCTACAAATGCTGTGGGTGGCAGGCAGGACAGCACTGCACTCAGTTCCTTTTGCTTCAGCTTTGTCTTGCTGAAATCATCAAGATTCAACAGCTTTATTGTCAGTACAGTAGTATACACTGTATACAGTGTACCGAAATGCTGTTTCACCGTAAACCCCCCATGGTCCATTTATAAATATATAAAAGATATATCTCCAAGAGATATAAAACTAGGAATTACAAATAAATAACATGCTAGGTTTTGATAAAATTAGGGCTAAAAAGGTACTAATTACTAACTATACAATACTATAATGGTAACTATACAATATTAACTGCACGATAAACAAAGACAGGACAGAGACAATACAAAGTGGAATGTGCAGTAGGTATTGAATACCAGTTTCATGTTATCGTTAGGATATTATTGACGAGGCATGACAAAGACGTGCAAAATGTGCAAATATATTATAATTTAGATGTGTGTTCAGAACTATGTGACTGAGTGTTCAAGTAAGCATATTGTTCCCAGGTCCCGTTTGTAGTGGATTTGTGGAAGTTTTTGTTTTTGAGTCTTTTGATGAGTATTATAAGGTGTTTGTAGAGGTGTATGTTTATATCAGTCCTTTTATGGTAGTGAGTTGAGGGCTCTGACTGCTTGGGGGAAGAAGCTCTTGCAGTGTCTGGTCGTTACGGTTTTAATGCTGCGAAACCGTCTGCCAGATGGAAGGAGGGAGAACAGTGCATGTGAGGGGTGGAAAGTGTCCTTCACTATGCTGTTTGCACGTCGGATGATGGGTCTGTTATAGAGTTGGGAGATGGATGTGAGAGGGCCTCCAATGATCATCTCTGCTGTCCTCACTATCTGCTGCAGACTTCTTTTCAGTTAGGGTGCAGTTCCCATCAATGCGTTCCCTGCAGTTTTGTTTTTTTTGACTGATTACACAGGACAGTTTGTCTGTGCTCTCTGACAATAGTTTCCATGTTTCTGAGCACATGAATTTCTACTACACTTTAATTCTACAAGTTCTTAAGTTGTTAAGAAGAAAGCTCAGCCTCACTAAAGAGCCCTCTTTAAGTACCTCAGGATCTTCTATTGTAAATTAACCTCTTTAGCAATGAGCTGTTCGACCAAATCCAGAATCAACATATTTTTATGTTGCGCGGATTTATTTTACTGAGGATCGTTGATACTAAATGACAGTGCTGTAGAGAATTCAAGAAAAACCAGAATTACATGTCATGTTTTCAGGGTCGGTGGATGATGACAGAATTATACAATTCTTGGAACTAGCCGGAGTGGTGAGATAAATTCTGCTTTCATCTCCAATGCATGTTATTTCATGAAATTACTTTTCATTTTCACTCATGCTAAATAAAACCTTGATGTGTGTGCAGTCCAGTCTGCTGAAACGGACGGGCGGGCTGGATGAGAAAGTGGATTGGAACTGGTAAGAAACAATTAAAGAAGTAAAACTGTGTAATACTTCCTCAAGCTTGTTTTTGTTCTCTGCAGGTATGATGTTCTGTCTCCAGGTGAAATGCAGCGTCTCTCCTTTGCACGACTCTTCTACCTGCAGCCCAAATATGCAAGTATGCTCCTCTGGATACTCGCTAGAGCATCTCATAAGAAAACATGCATGCACTGATGAAGTTTTTAGTCGTGCTGAGTGTGTGGTTCAAGTGAGCTGAGGCTGTTTGCTGTGTTTACCGGACTGATGTGTTCTAGTCTGCAATTTTCTGGTGTTTGAACTTTAGTTTTAGATGAAGCCACTAGTGCTTTGACCGAGGAGGCGGAAGCACAGCTGTACCGAACTTGCAAACAGCTGGGCATGACTTTGGTCAGTCTGGGACATCGCAGCAGCCTGGAGAAGGTAGGCCAAACATCCCGACTCCAGTTAGGATAACTGGTGGAAATTACAGCCTGCACACTCAAAACTTTTGCTGTTCTTGGACACATCTTTTGCTTTAGTCACTGTTGTTGAGCCAAATCCCAGTAAGTGGGTTGCTTTGTATGACTCTTCCACATCTCCAAAAAGAGTAAAGTTGATCAGCAATACATTCTTGTGGCTTCGTTTCACATGCCTTCTCTTACCTTGTTCTCAGATCTGTCCAACTGTTACTACATTATGTGAAACTTTGTTTTTCCAGTACCATGATGTCCAGCTGAAGCTGTGTGGAGAAGGCCGATGGGAGTTAACAAAGTTAAAAGGAACTAGCGGAAACCTCAGTCTCAAAGATGAAGCAATGTGACTGTGGCCATCTATTTGAAATGCTTTAACCAGTGTTTATGTTTACACAGTGTCTTTAGAAGAATGTGAAAATTCTTCCTAGAACCAAATCAAACTAATCCACTATTAACTTTTGATTTTTAGTGTGTGGACTAAAAAAAGAAAACTGGAATTTCACCCAATCACTTCTTGGTTCTGTTGCTTTTGTGTACGCCATCTGTTATCCCCAAAAATGGCAGCTTCTAGACTGACCTGGTCTTCAGTGGAGACGGTGCTTTTAATCTAAATATTTGTAAGAAAAAGATAATAATCGAACACATGCTGAAGAGATAAGGTATATAGATGTGGGGTGTACTGTAAGGCTGTGATTACATTGTATTAAATTATATACTATTGACTCAACATCGTCTATCAGTGTGGGGAATAAGGAACGTAAAGGGTCCTCGCCGTGTCACTCGCTAACATTCCAGTGCTCTCAGACAGCACACTTTGTTCTGTTAACAGAGGTACTTTAATAGTTTGAAGAAGGCTCGTGTGTCACACCACTCAAAAAGTTCTGGTCCCACATAAAGTTCACATTTTAAGATAAAAACAAAAACAACTCTGTAAATCTTTAATGCATTTATGTGACTTTACAGTAGCTTAGTGTACAACATTTCCAATGGGAAAACGGTTATTACTGTGTAATAAACAGACTTTCACACAATATTCTTTTTAATTCCTTCTAAGAAATGTCGGTATGTCTGCTCACATGAAAATTGGTATATTTGATGAAGGCAAACAAAATTATGCCTTCATACTATGATCCCAGCTTGAAGTACATCAACATTTTGTGCTTTTTAATTCACATTATTTCTTCCGGCATGTGATGGCTCAAAAATGCCATCTCCTACCTGATATATGAAATTTGAAACAATAGAAAATTAGTTTTGACCCTAAGAATCACTGATAGAAAAATCATCCTATCAAAATGTAGGCTAAAAAGAGACCTCTCATATGTAGTAAATTCTTTCAGCCAGACTCTAATCCCATATGGTGATACGACCCTTTAAAGTTTACCTAAAGTGCACATTTTGAGTTTCTCTGTAGCGAATTATCACCAAGCAATGCTTTTTTCCCGTTAGTGTGTCATAGACAATAATTTGGTGCAATTTTTTTCTCTGTTTCTATACCACCTCTCTTGTGACATTGAAGCTCAAGGTTAGAAAATTGTGCTGAACAAAGACAAGATTTTGGATTTAGAGTTTGAATTTTTGTGTAAAATTAATTCGTTTGCAGTTTTTAAATTGTCATATTTGACATTGACATTTGTTTTTCCAACCCTGAAAATTCCATGTTTCCCTTTCTTAGAGGGGATAGAACTTGTAAAATAGTCCAAAAATTGAAATTTCATCTGGCTTCATGAAATAACATTGTTTTGTAAAAAGTTCTGGGAGGTTAGGTGGGAAAAGGTTTTGTGGGTCTGGTTTATCTGGAGAGTGTAGACAGATTTTAAAAGAGCCTATCGGAATGATCTGGCTATTAAAAATATGTGTTCATACAAAGGCACAGGTCTGGTTCATGAAAATGGAGTGCAACATGCAAGCTTGCCTTGTGCACTCTTCTCTCCTTCAGAAAACACCTTATGATCGATTTTTACTCAAGAGTTTCTCGTGACCTTGAATGATCTCCTGAACTGCTGCAGGATCATCCAGAGTACTCAGGTCGCCCAAACCCTCCAAGTCGCTCTCCACAACTTTACGCAGCACCCGTCGCATTATCTTACCCGAGCGGGTTTTTGGCAGACGCTTGGCAAACTGTGACGAACACCAACACAATGAGAAGTTATTAAATAAAGTCAGATCATGACTGCCAGCATTTTCAAGTCCGCACTACAAAATTACCTGGATGAAATCCGGAGAAGCGTACTTGGCGATCTTTTCAGATACCATGCCGTTTAGCTGCCTCGACAAGTCTGCCTCTTGTACATCGATGCCTTTTTTAAGCACCACAAAGGCGTAGACACCTGACGATGCAAAAATCACACATTTATCTGCTACATTTAGCAAAACACATTGCTGACTGATTTACACTGAAAGGAACTGTGCTGAGTTTCTTACCTTGTCCTTTGATGCTGTGTGTATACCCTACGACAGCAGATTCAGCCACTGCAGGACACTGATTCTGTTTACAGAAGTCACAAACAGGATAAATTCAGCATCTTCATACTTTGTGGTTCTTCTAGAAAGGCATTAAACTATTGCTTTAAAACAAAAAAATTAAACAACAACCATATAGTGCATTTGATACATCAGCCAATATGTTTTTTTCTTTCAGATACAGTAAACTTGAACAGATTTATAACATTTGTAATATGTAGTAATTTATTTACTCATTTTGGCTCCGCCCACCTCCACTCGAATCGGCTGTTTATTGCATTTTGGGGCTTTCCAACTGAGAAGTTGAAGATTGCCCTCTGGTGGACACAGTGTGCAATGTCAACAACATGTTTGAAGGGCGTCTTCTTTTGTTTTCTTTTTCTGACCGTTATAAATGCCAATATTTATAGATGGGCAAATAGTTAATATTGATCTGTAATATCAGCGAAGTGATGAGCTGATAAGTGAGCTCTACAGCGCATTACTATTTAGGCTGTGGGCTGTAGCCGGACCATGCTCCCATTAGCAGTGATGCTCCTCAACATAAAAGTCAGGTCAGTTTTACAGAGAAATTGCAGATTGCTCTGGGGCTCCCAGAGAAAGATGCATTGTGAGCTTAATAAGGACTCAACTTTAAAGATGACGTGTTTTTTGCTTTTTAAGCTCAGAGCTGTGAACCTTGTAATCAGGTATCTCTGAGCTTTTGAAATGCGAGACATTCAAGTTAATCAGTTATTGGCCTTACCACTACGTCCTCTATCTCTGCTGTCCCTATCCTGTGACCGCTCACGTTAATGACATCATCAAGGCGGCCGGTGATCTGGTAGTACCCCTCCTCAGACCGATAGGCACCGTCACCAGTAAAGAAGTAACCTATATTATGTGCACCAGTACAGAAGGATTTAGAGACTGTACATTTCTCTTTCTGTGAAAACAGACATTAAGAAAACAGAGGCGGTCTGTTCCTGAACTCGTAAAACTGTACCAGGATAAGGCTGGAAGTACGTGTCAATAAATCTCTGGTGGTTGTTATGAATGGTTCTGGCCATACCAGGCCAAGGTTGAGCCATACACAGGGCTCCGGATGTGTTGTTGGAAGTCAGCACTTCGCCCTGAAGAAATCCAAAAACAATGCTAAATGTTAACCAGAAAAAAACAGTGTTACAAAACTTCTAAAACATTCCTAGGACACACAGAAACGCTACATTAAACCTCATTTAGCTCATTGGGTGATTTTTTTTTTGGTATGTTTTGGTTATGAGAAGCAGGAAAAAAAGACTGGCTCAGGGACATCACTCCAACTGTCAGCACAATCTGTGCTTTGCAAATGCTAAAGCAACCTCAATCAGCACAAAACAGAGCGACAGATTTTTAATAGGGAGTTTGGCATGCACACACTTGGCCTGATCGTGGGAGTGGGAGGAGTATCAAAAGTGACACAGCTGGTGGCTATTTTATAATCCTAATCTGACCCCATCTCCCAGGTCGTTCCCAGCCATCCAACATTTGCAGGAACAGCACACACACACACACACACCTCAGTGTCCATAAGCACCGGGTTAATGCCAAAAAAGGGTCGCATAGCCATTCCTGGGACAATCTCTGCGTCTGGGTCTGATGGCCTTGGTGCGATGCAGATGCCACCCGTCTCTGAGAACAGAGCAGAGCGAGTAAAGTGTGAATATATTTCAACATTTTTCCTTCAGATTACTCTGCCCTGTCCCTCACACTCAGCCCCATGCCAACTGGTTAGTGTATATAAAAATCTTTAATAAGCTTTCCAGACAGACACATTTAGTAAATTTAATAGTACAAAGGAATAAATTACATGGCACTGTTAGCTATGGCAATTATTATTAGTTTTATTATAAATTTTATTTGAAAGTTGGTAGAGATGTTCCCCAAAGATCCGCACTTGGCCCAGCGATGTGTTCAGTATACATCGTATTTCTCTGCTTAGCCACATTGATTTAAACAGTTTTTGCCAGTTTAATGTTGCTCAGAGGATTTTGTTTTGTTTATTAAGCCACTTAACACTGCTCTATGAATCATTCAAGCATAAAAGGTACCTAACTCAAGGGATGAACCAGTGTTGTGTCTACACACAACAGACAAAGAACCAATTTAGCCACTTTTTATTAGCAGCATACCAAAGTTAACACACTTTGACACACACAAAACAGTATTTTTAAACTCCCAAAGAGTTATTAGCTGAAAACCTGATATTTATTGCCATTAACGTGAATTATGTTCTTTAAAAAAATTGAGGAAATTCAAAAGGAAGACCTGACATAGACCATTTTTTAAAATCCAGGTGCTAAGTGGAAGGTTGAATGTCAAGAGGTCCTTCTTGGGGAAGGGAAACCTCAACATTATTGAAGGCGTGTGGGATCATCTTAACAGACAGCAGAAAAAAAGGCAGCCGACGTCTAAAGAAAAGCTTTGAATGTCATCCAAGAAGAAAGTTTGACGAAGAGAGTTCAGGCTGTGAACTGAAGAACTGAAGAATAAAGGCGGTCATATCACTTGTACGAACTCTGTTTTTGCCTAATATACTGCATTCCCATACATGTTGTCATAGTTCAATAAATCGCAGTTTGTGAATCTACTGTAAGCCCTTCTCATAGCTACAGATGTAGATTGTGGAATTACAGCCATACTAAGTAAATTAAATGCTATTAGGTCTGCGTGGACATCAGGGACCTCTGGTAATCCTCCTGGTGGTGTTGGTAGCAACAGAGGGGACTTTCTACAAAATAGGACACAACAGATGATTCGACAATAGCATTAGCCACTGGCATCCTGTTTACATCAGCTGTAACTGTGAGAGTCGTTGCTTCACAGTCCCAAGAAACAATGTGATTAACAAAAACAGTCCAGGTCGAGCACACAGGCAGTTAAGTATAAAAACCGGAGACAGGAAGCCCGGCTTCCAGTTTGAATTTTGCTGACTTTGGACACAACTAGGTTATCTCTTTTTCCAGTGATTAGATGGCATCATGTGTCTGAAAGTTTAAATACACTAAGCTATTTTTCCCCTTCATTTGCGCTGATTGAAGCTACTTTTCAAGCTCCCATCATCCTCTGTCCTCTCACCTCTCCAGTCCTGGATCATCCTACATGGAGGCTGTACGCCAGCAACGGCTCAAAATCCATTTTCCTCTCTAAACAGGCTACTTGCTTCCAGATCAACCAAATGGCATTTATGAATAATGCCACTTAGCCCTAATTGAAAACACTGGACCATGAAAATAACATAACAACATAATCCTTTTTACAGAAGTAGGGTATTTAGGTCATATCTGTGTCTGTAATTCTCAAGCTCATGATGCTCTAATGTTTAATTATCGTCAATTAATTATGGACTTTTGCCATTTGTATGGTAATTAACCCTGCTCTGCACCATTAGGTCATTACGCAATCTAATGAAGAGATAACTGACATTATTAGCAAAATCAGCTGATTTCTAACATGATGTTATTATGTCCCATCCGATGCTACACTTGTGCAGCATTTTGGAATCTTTCAGTCATCAAGCGCTGAAGGACACGTTTATTTTGCAAGTTCT